CACAGACCCTTTGTGTCTGTAGCCAGGGTAGAAAAGAGAGTTTTGAGTTTGAGCTCAAGGACTGCTTTGGAAAGAAGGAGAATGAGAGAGAAATGTGTGTATGTCTCTGTGTGAGTGAGAAGACCCTTTTCCCAATCACAGTTGGATTTTGCTCCTTCTGGTCTTTCCTAGCCGCAGAAAGGATCTGTTGGAGTTCAGAGCCTGGAAAGCATGGGGGTTGGCCAGAGCGCAGGACCTTCTGTTAGGGAAAAGAGAAAGGCTGTATGAAAATGGAATGGAATGGGTGAATGAAAGAATTGGATTTGAGTAACCAGCTGGTTAGGTCCTGTAAGCAAAGCAAAGCAAAGTTAGGAAAATGGAATTGGCTAAATAAAGGTACTTAAAAGAAAAATAAGAAATAGTGATTCTCTTTTTCTCTCTATCTTTATGTGCAATCACGTGGTATGTTTAAGTTTCTTGCCTTCTCTAATTCGAGTTAGCTCAGATTTGTGGTGGGAATGACCAGGATGTGTAGAACTAAAAGTTCTGTTTTCTTTTCTGTTCTCTTTTTGTTGTCTTGGTATGTATATGTGTGTCAAAGTTTTTGTGTGTGAAGTAAATGTGATTGTTAATTGTTTCTAATCCCAAGAGAAATACTTTCACTCAGTTTGTCTGGCCAACAAAAAGAGTGAAGAAAGATATGTTTGTTTGTTTTTCTTTTCCTCTCTCTCTCTCTCTCTCTCTCTCTCTCTCTCTCTCTCTCTCTCTCTCTCTCTCTCTCTCTCTCCTCTTAAGAACAGCCCAAAGTTAGCAGGAATAATAAAGTTAGAAGGAACCTTGGAGGTCATCTAATCCAACCCCCTGCTTTCTCTGGCTGTGTTGCTTTAAGGGTGAGTGAGAGAGAGAGACATAAAGGAAAAGGGGGGGGGGTTTGATCTTTTTAACTATTTTTTTTCCTGTTTAGAATTCTGGTTTGAGGAAGGAGGGGTGGATGAGAATGTTTTAACCTACTTAGTGGAAATTTGTTTCCATCTGAATGGAATCTGATTAAATTAGAATTTGACTAAATTTATATTAAAAGCAAAGAGTTGATACTAGAGTTTGATACAAAACTATTTCAGTAACTCAGATTTTTTGTTTGTGTGGAGTTGGTTT